GCTAAGGTCCTTTTCAGCCCTAACCATTCTATGATTCTGTGATTCTATGGTTAACCTGTTCTGTGTCTCACCACTTGCATAGTAAAAAATTCTTCCTTATGTCCAATCTAAATCCTCTTTCAGTTTAAAATCGTTGCCCCTTTTTCCTGTCAGTACAGGCCTTGGTAAAAAGTCTTTCTCTATCCATACATGGGATGTAAGACCCCTTTGTATGTTAAAACAGTGCAGTGAGGACCCCTGGAGCCTTCTTTTCTCCAGGCTGAACATAGAGTCATAGGATCACAGAATACTCAAGTTTGAAAGGATCCATAAGAATCATTGAGTTCAACTCCGTGCTTCTCACAGGACTACCTAACACTAAACCATATGACTAAGAGCATTGTCCAGATGCTCCTTGAACTCTGACAGGCTTGGTGTCATGACCACTTCCCTGGGGAGCCTGTTTCAGTGACTGACCACCCTCTCATTGAAGAACCTTTTCCTAATGTCCAATCTGAACTTCCCCTGATGCAGCTTCATTCCATTTCCTTGTGCCCTGTCACTGGTCACCAGAGAGAGGAGATCAGCACCTTCCATTCTGCTGCCCCTCTTGAGGAAGCCGTAGACTGCCATTAGAGCACCCCTCAGCCTTCTCTTCTCCAAGCTGAACAAGCCAAGTGACCTCAGCTGCTCCTCAGAATTTTTTCCCTTGAGGCCTTTCACCATCTTGGTCGCCCTCCTCTGGATGCATTCTAGTAGTCTGATGTCCTTCTTGTATTGAGCCACCCACAACTGCACACAGAACTGGAGGTGGGGCTGCCGTAGACTGCCATTAGAGCACCCCTCAGCCTTCTCTTCTCCAAGCTGAACAAGCCAAGTGACCTCAGCTGCTCCTCAGAATTTTTTCCCTTGAGGCCTTTCACCATCTTGGTCGCCCTCCTCTGGATGCATTCTAGTAGTCTGATGTCCTTCTTGTATTGAGCCACCCACAACTGCACACAGAACTGGAGGTGGGGCTGCACCAGTGCAGTCAGTGCAGAGTGGGACAGTCACCTCCCTCGACCAGCTGGCAATGCCGTGCTTGATGCACCCCAGGACACAGTTGGCTTTTGGGGGCCAGTTGACTTATATTCAGCTTGCCATCAACCCAGACCCCCAGGTTGCTTTCTGCAGGGCAGCTCTCCGTCATCTTGTCCCCTAGTTTGTACATATAACCAGGATTACCCTGTCCCAGGTGAAGAATCCTACAGTTGCTCGTGTGAAATTTCTTATGGTTGGTGATTGCCCAGCTCTCTAGTCTATCCAGATCTCTCCGTGTGCCCTTTCTACCTTCAAGGGAGTCCACAGCTCCTGCTAGATTATTTTCTGCTAAATCAGAAAATTTGCTTAGTGTACTTTTCATTCCTATGTCCAGATGATTTAAAAAACATTGAAGAGCACTGGCCATAAAAGTGAGCACTGGTGACTGGCCACTAGCCTGATGTGACCCCATTTACTGTAACTCTTTGAGCCTGACCTGTCAGCTAATTGCTCACTCAAAGTATTGTCTAGCTGTGTGCTGGACATTTTGTCCTGAAGGATGCTGTGAGAGACAGTTATCAAAAACTTAGCTAAAATAAATAAAAAAACCAAAACATCTACTGGCTCCCCTTGGTCAACTAGATAGATGATGTTGTGATAAAAGGAAATTAAGTTAGTTAAACAGGACTTTCCCCTCATGAACCCATCTTCAACCCTAACTCTCTCAACATTCCTTCGTAAGAGAGATGTTCCAGCCCTCTGATTATTTTTGTGGCCCTCCTCTGGACGTGCTCTAACAGATCAGTGTCTGTCTGAAAACTGGAGACACCAGAGCTGGATGCAGTACTCCAGGTGGCATCTTACCAGAGTGGAGTAGAAGGGCAGAATCACCTCCCTCACCCTGCTGGCCACTCTTCTTTTTATGCAGCCCAGGATGTAATTGTCTTTCTGGGCTGCAAGTGGATGTTGCCAGCTCGTATCTATTTTTTCATCCACCAGTATCTCCAATTCCTTCCTGCAGTCAATTAATCAATCAGTCTGTATCGATATTGGGAATTGCCCCAACCCAGGTGCAAGACCTTGCACTTGGCCTGGTTGAACTTCATGAGGTTCACAAGGGCTTGCTCATGCTAAGTATGATACATTACTTACATCAGAATAGTTGATTCGCTAGTAATAAGATCGTGGAAAACATTATTTGTACAAAAAGTAGGCCTTTTGCGGCCACAGATCAGTACCCATGTTTTTATTTGCCTAGCCAGCTTCCTGAATGTAGTGACTCAATTTTGCCTCCTGGTTGTTTATTTTTTTTACTCCTGCAGAAAGAATATTCATAAGATCCACAACTAACTTTGCCAGGGAAAATCGGCTTGTCTATCCATGCCCACTTTTCTTGTCTCAAAGTTAACTAGTCCTGTAGCATTTCTGGTAGTTCACTATTTCAGCAAGGTGCAGGAGTCTGTAGGAGACAGTCTCCTAAACATAAAGAATCAAAGATTTTTACAGTTGCAACACCAGGCTGCATGGCAAAACATACCAGTGCATCTGCACAACCCATTGTGTCTGGCAAGGTGCTCATTGACAAAAGGATATGGAAACATTTTTGCACATCTTTTCAATTTATTGTAAAGTGAATGGTTTGGACATGAAGTTGAGAAGACCCAACCAGGCAGTTTGAAAAAGTGCAGTCCCGACGAGTCTTCCTTTTTCGTAAGAATTCAGTGCCCATGGACTGCCCTCACATTTCCTTTATGGGAAAACAGATATGCTGAAAGAATAAAAGGGACTCTCTTTTTCCTAGAGAAGGAGAAACACAGAAATAAAGATGAGGAGTGATAACACTGTGCAACATTTGGGTAAGAGGTAAGAGCAACAGGGTGAGGAAAGAGAGATGCAAGATGATGTTACTGTCTCTGTAGCATAGCCTCATGCCTGCCGGCACCAGGGGAAGGGGGGTGGTTCGTGCAGCGTGCCTAACATCTGGTGGGAGGAGGAAGGCCCACAGCATACGTTTCTCACAGGTTCAGTGCAGGAACCAGAATCTGTCCCAGAAGAATGGTTATCAAGGGGTGTGAAAATAAAGGAGAGTGAAGATCGTCCAACATTGCATGAACTTTCAAACCCCTGTAGTGAAGAGTTGCCTCAAAATTCACATCCACAAAAATAACCTACCTCTGGCTCATAGTTGCTTGCTTTTATGGAGACTTGTTTCTTAAGAAAAGCATTTCAAACTTTGATGACTGCTGAGAGTGGCAGGAGCTGATGAAGTCCTCCTCTGCAAGTCTCTTTCATTGTTTTTGGTAGTTACAGATAAAGGCAACTTTGGCATGAGGTTGCTATTCTTTCTGGCATGGATTATTGCAAGGCTTCTAGCTCTAGCTGAGCACAAATACACATCTATTTTAGACCTTTGAAGGGGGGACTTGAACTAAGTCCCTTTACAAACTGGAGCCTGGAGAAATAAATACCAGGGTTTTGGGTTGTTTACATTAAGAGAAGTGAATATTTTAATATATTAAAAGTTGTTAACCTCCTTCAGAAACTTTACTGGAAACAAGTGACTAGGTTTGAAGAACGAAACTTGATTCACAATAGCTTGCTTTTCTTTCATATTCACATGATAATAACTGCCTGTCAAACCAAACCCTCAGCTACCTTTTTCCTCTGCAAAATCCCCAGCAGTGTATAGATAACAGAGAAGACTGCAGAAGTGCCTCTTACTGCTCCCACCCTTTGCGTGCCCTCCAAGACGAACTTGCCATTTTGGGTGACTTTTGACTTTTTCAAGTGGCTGTGTGTACTCCTTGTTGATGTGAGTTCTCATCTATACCCTGCAGAGGCCAGAGGACATGGTGACTGTATCTCGTAATATGGTCTCATTAATGTGCTGTGGTCCTTCCTTGCATGTTAAATGCTTTGTGCCTGTGGCATTCTGCAAAGCATCCATGCTAAGATATGGGACCCATACCATTAATTTGAACCCTGCCTGGAGGAGAAGATGTAGTCTGGCCTAGTGCCATGCAAGATGTCGTGTATCTCACTCTAGCAGGTTTAAGTTCCCTAGATGGTTTCAGATTCCCTATTTTAGGCACAGACAGGGTCAGAAATAGAACTTAGTTTTAAAAATCAAAATTTATGTCCCTAAAAAGCAGAGTTTTTTGTTTTTCTGGGGTTTTTTTTGGTTTGGGTTTTTTTGGGTTTTTTTTGGAGTCTTTTTAACCATCTGTTATTTTTTCTACAAATCTTATGATTTTAAATCCAAAAGTAGATACTGGGGTTTAAGAGAATCTGGAATACTATCATGAAGCAGCATAGATTTGAAACACAAACTACTCTGCCAAGCTATTGTGAAGCTATATCAGCTCAGGCTGAAAGCAGTTTGTCTGCTTTTGGTTGATGGGTGATAACTGGGAAACTAATGAGCTTGAACAATAAAACCCTGAAGTTTGGTCTTAGAGGGGGAACAAGAGGAGTTTAGCAAGAATGATTTCTAGCATTCATGAATCATCATAGCACTAGCTGCATCCAAAATTGCACATTTTTTCTGCACAGCCTTGGCCATTAGCCAAAGGAGGGAAATTGGAAGAAAAATCTGAATTGTTCTGTGACATATGTCTAATGAAAGTACCTATTCCTTTCCCTAATGCAAAGAATAAGTGAAAAATAAGTGGTTTTTAATTTCAAAACAGACAATACAAAGAAACTGTGAAAAGAAGAAACTGTGAGGCAGCTGATAGAAAAGAAGTTTAAATTTCCCAGGCAGTTCTATGGATCTGAGGTTAATAAATTATGGTAATTGAAACTGTTGTAACAGCAGGTCTATGTGAAGCAAAGAGATGTCTGACGGGTTGTATGGCATTTCAGAGAGACAGACAGGGCATGTATCAAGCTTGCTGAACAAGCTATTCAGTGCAGTGTACAAGGCCTGACGAAGACTGACGGCATACTGCATCATATACTTCTTTCTGCGCTACCTATCAGTGTAAATCAAGAGTACCTCTATTGAATGTAATGGAATGTAAACAAATTTAGCCTGCACCACAGTATCTCTACCAGCATGTTTAATTTTTTAAGTTCATAGCCTATTGTGAATGTAATTTTTATTATTGTAGTGCTAGATACTCTGTGCACACTTTTTAACGTCTGTGTGTGCTTGCAATGATCAAAATTTACTTGGATTAATTATAGAACATTACAAATGCGTTGAATTAGTGGTATTTCTATTATGCATCTAGTAGCATTCTTTATATGCCAATTGCTATACAAAAAAAAATGTTCTCTTTCTGCTGATATTTTTTCTGAAAAGGTGATAGGGTCTATTTACTTGTTTATCTTCTCTTGTGATCATTTACACCACTGTGATACATTTTCAGAACTGTTTTGCCCTGATTTTGTACTCACATAGGTGTAAATGACTACTGGAGGAATCTGACGATTAAGTCTTGTGGAGAAAGGTAGGAGGAAGGAAGACTCCAATAATTTAAAGGAAATCTGCTAAGTTTATTTTCGAGTTAACTCAGTATGAAAAAAGTTTTTCTGTTTTCAAAAAATTGAAAAATTGAAAAAAAAGAACGACACAAATGCATGCAGATGCTGTCCTTTCTCTTGGATAGTTCAAAATGGTTTGGATTTAAAACTTCAGTCTTGGCAAGCATTTAGTCCTCAAGGAATGTGTGCTTGTTAAATCCTGGCCAAAAAAAACCTGAGAAAGATTTTTTTTTTAAAGTTGTGAAATTAAGAAATTAAATATGTAAGGAATTCTATTTTGTTGAAGGATAATCTTTAAAAGCCAAATCCTGCATTCTGTTTTGTACTGAGGACCTCCACAGAGTATGCTGTCTGAACTCATAAAACACATGAATCCTCATCTAAGGTCAAATACTCAGAATACATGCTGCTGAGTGCTAAAAAGATATCTGGGTGTTGACCTCTTTCTGGGAGCCCTGCCAGCATCAGAGCTGGTATGGGTCTGCTGTGGGGGAAAAGGACAAGAGACGCAGAGAGTACATGTCAGGGCACGTGCTCTCCTTGACCTCTGCTGGGACCAGATGCTCTTCAGACGCTGTTCTGCAGCAGGGATCTGGGAGAAGAGGGGGGCTGGGAGATGAGGGAGGGGAAGTTTTATGCTCCCCTTCTCCTGTCGTATCAAATGGGGGAAAAGCCTTGTCCTGCTGCCCTGTCATTTCATGCCACTGCAGGCAGGTTTCCTTCCTCCCAGTCCACATGTTGTTCCCCAGCAGGCAAAGCCGAGCTACTCAGACTGTGTCGGTGCTAGGTGTGTGCCTGGGTAGGTGCTGAACTGTGCCCTTGGGAAATCATTCTGGATAGCTGGGAGACACGGGGCATTATTAATGTGAAGCAGATGCTGATTTCCATCTAAGCTCTGTCCTCTGACCTTCAAGCTCATTTGTAAACTGTATGCTACCTTCTAGAAACTAATTTTTAAAGAAAGCAAAGGTAGGAAACTGAGGAGCTGTGGAATTCACACCTCAGTACCCATAATAGGGACAGAGAGCCCCTTACTTTGGGGAAGAGGGTTACTGAGGGATTAGGTAATTAGATATTTTTGTAGGAAAGATGCTGACACAGGAGGTGTTACATGTTTGCCTTTTAAATTCAGCTACTAATATTTTTGGGTTTCTTTTTAATTTTTGGACACAGGACCTGTGAAGGGCGAAACATCCGGTACAGGACATGCAGCAATGTGGTAAGTGACATATAGCTTTGATATTAACAAACCATCACGTGTGACGGTTGTGTCCATATTACATAAAATAATTTGGTAATGTGATAGAGAGAATACTGTACCTATCTAAACTGCCTTCACCACAGGGGTGCAGGAAAACCTTTGTCTGTTTCTTGAAAAACTGTCGAGATTATGGCACAGCATAATGCTAAAACTGTTTGGAAGGGATTGCAGTCACAACCTTTCCAAATAGAGTGTCAGTGAAACTTCAGAATTGCTTTTTACAACCCCCCTGGCAGAATCAAGACAGCTCGTGTTCCCAGTGTTACTTTGGTAACCAGCTGATTCCCATTGGGTAGTCTGTCAGGCTGGAGTATTAAACTGTTGAGGATTAAAGACAAGGTAGTAAGAGATGTATGTTTCTGTTCACCTGTGTCCTCTCAACAGTGGTATTCTGTTGCATGACTTAGAAAAGCAGTTTTAGGTAGCCTGCACCAGTGTTTTGGCCTTTCCAAAGGCTCTTGCTTGTTTTTTATATATGGTGAATATAGTTTTCAATACAATAACGTAAGAAACTTCAACTTCTATGCTCACCAAAGTGAAAGTGTGTTTTCACTGGTGAAAATGGAAATAAAGACTTTCATACGGAAAGTTTTATTGGGTGCCAAGAATAGTAAAAGCTCTCCAGTTACATGGAGAAATGTCAGTTTTACCAGTAAAGATGGAAAATGAAATCAAACGTGCGCTGTGCCAAGCTTTCTCATGCTTGATAGGGAAATATTCAGAAGCCTTTCAATAGGTGCTTTGTCTAAAAAAGTTTAAAAGTTTAAGTTAAAAAAATGAATGTGTTCCCTCATATTTAGCTTATATTTTCTTCAATAGACCACAGTTCATAATGAAAGAAACTGCTTCTGTCTGAGTTGTAGTCTTTCATGCAGTAAGATTTCTCACAGTTCTTTTTCTGAATTTTTTTCTGAGTGTACCCTTTGGGTTCCTGAAATCTCTCATCAGTCTGGACATCTGCATCACTAACTGATGACAACTAGATTAGTCAATAAATAGGTCTGCTGGCTGATTAACAGTCCAGTTTCCATCTTTGAGACAGTTAGGCTACACCACAACTGTGAAGGGAATGGGAAAGTTGATTTGTGACAGTCAAGTTGCATGCTGTAGCTCTGTGGAATATGACACAAAAAAGAGAAAAAAAAATAGATACGGCTAAAGGCTAGTCAGACTACAGGTAGATCCATTGGTTTTGTTTTGGTTTGTGAACGCATGCACGTTGTGACAGTTCCCTTCCCTTTCTGACCTGCCTTTGTGTATGCTAAGCGCAGTGAGGCAAACTAGCATCCTGCTCTGCTGGACCCTGATGAGAGGCTTTATCCATGTTGCAACTCTTATTTTGGAATCTTTGATCTTAACTTTCCAAGATAAGGAATAGTTTTTTAAATATTATTTTTAGCTTAGGTTCTGTTTTGGAAATGTGTACGTGAAGTTTTCCTTCAAAATAAAACTTTGCATAGTTTTGTCAGGCAATTCCTTTAAATACCTCGTGTTTGGCAATAGTGGCTCCAGACTTTCCAACACAGCAGTGAGGCATGCAGCTGCAGAACTCAATTATTCCATACCAAATAATCCAGAGTGAAACTTTCGAAGTGCCTTACTATGCTGAAAACAGTGACAGTTTTGCCACTGAATTATGAAGATCCAGGACTACATTTATGATTTTAATCCCTTTTTTCAGAGAGGAAAAAGAATGGATTGTGCCACATTGCTCTTTTCCTTGATAAGGGATTGAATGAGTTTTCATGTGTTTGCTTTTGGTAAACTTGCAAAAATTGGCAATAAATCAAACTATTCTCAAGCTTCTCACTGCATCATACTTTGACCAGGCCCTCCAAATATGGCTTTATGTTGTAAGGAAAGTACTTGGCTGTATTCATTTTGCAGACATTTGATTTCAGGAGAAAGTATTTTCTATTTTTAAAGTATGTTCAGTCTTTGATTCAGATGTTATGCCCTTCCATTTATCATCTTTAGTAATCTGAGATACCGTGCACCAGTATTCACAGTATCAGTCATTGCAAGGGCACTGCCACCATGATCAGCATCAGAACTTGTGACAGGAACCTGTCACAGCTGTGGTGGCCCTCAGCCCTGTGTTTCTGGGGCTAAATACCACTTTGAAATACCTTGTGCAGCACCAGTGGAAACCTAAAGCAGTTTGGGAGCCCTGGATGTGCATCTCTGCACTGGAATCCATTCTGTTACTGAATTGTGTAGCTGTACCACTGAAATACTGTTTCTTTCTTTCAGAATAGTAAAAAAAGAAAAAAAAAGAAAAAGAAAAAAAATCACATATTTGCTGTTTAATGAAGTCTATTGTCTTTGTCTCCAAAATCCAAGGATACGTACACATAAACTGGGTCTTGAAAACAATTAATTAAATGGCTTGTCATGGAATTTTGCGCTGGAAAAGGCACACAATATTGTATGTATTTTTGTTGACTCAGATTTTGCCTTTTAAGATTTCGTGAACAAAGATGTTGAAAATCAGGAGGACAGAACTTTCAGGCTCAATGAGACCTACATTTTCATCTTTGAGATGCTTTAAAGGAAAATGAGAGCAAATCCACCCATTCCACCCCTGCAAATGAAGCTAGCTATCATGCATTGCAGAAAATTCCTCTTTGATTCTTGTGGAAATCAGTAAGTCCTGAAATAGAAGCTTTCTTTACCATTCACTTGTGCATAACTTGAGGACTGATGTTATTGTTCATAAAATAACTGGACTTCTATTTTTCTGCAAGCTGTCTTTCTGTAAACTGGTATGTTTACAGGAAAGGTTGGGTAGTCACATATACTACAAGCAAACTCTTTATTTCAAAGGCAAAATAGGAGAATGGGAAGAGTACTTCTTGGAATCTGGCAATGAACACATTTTCATAGGCACCATCATTTGCAAGATTTTTCTACATCTGGTTCTAATTCATCCTTAAATTAAATTACAGGGAGAAAAAAAAGGAATGAGATAAAGAAAAAAGAGAGACAAGGGGAGAGAGTAGTGTGTCTGTTTCTTCAGTGACCTGTGTTATTCTAGAGATGCTGACCCATATTTCATAGTATAGACTGTAAGAGAGATTGATACTGCTGCCTATAAAACTTCTGAGCAGTCCTTAAAAGAACAAATCCAGTCCAGTATGTTCACCACTTGCATTGCCTGGTGTTGATCAGAAACTGGAAAGATTTTCGGTATGAAGCCACATGTGTAAATAGTAAAGAAGGAATGAGGGAATCTGAAGATGATTTAGGGTTGAATTGCATCCGTTTTTTTTCTTCTTACTATTCATATTGAGTCCAAGTATATTTCCAGCCATTTTAGAATATAATCATGGGGGGAGAGAGGGAGTAATTTGTTTTTCTTTAGAAAATAACTCTGAATGCAATGAAAACATGTTTTTATGTCTATCTGGGTTGTTATACCAAACATTATGCAAAATAAACAAAAACATTTCCAAATGGTGAGTAGAATTTTTTTACTAGCTCTTTTTCTTTTTTCTTTTTTTTCTTTTTTTTTTTTTTTTTTTTTTTTTTTTTTTTTTTTTTTTTTTTTTTTTTTTTTTTTTTTTTAAGCTACCATGCTCTCTGTTCCTTCTTCTAGACACGTTCTTAGTTGCCAGGTTCTCTCCAGCTTTTGTACCAGGATATCAAGCCACCTCATTTGCCCTTTCCCTTTTTCAGTCCTTCTGCCACTATGGTGGTTTTTGCATTATCTTCCCCTATTTACAAGAAAATCTATCTGACAGATATTTCTTGGAACGCGTACTGTCTTTGTGTCTTCTCTCTTCATTCTCCTCAATTATCAAACCCTTTTTTGTGATTGAAAACTTTTTTTTTTTCCTCTGGGATATTTTTCCTTTTATTGCACTGCTTTCTGAATCAGACCAGAAAAAAAAAAATTAGGTGTATGAGGCTGGCACTTCATTCCCAAAGGATTTTGCTTTTCATATTTGCTTGCTGATACCTGCCAGCATGATGATGAACACTGCACATAAAGCTGCTCTTGAGATTTTTCTGTTTGACATGAAAATAGACAATGGTGGAACCTGTACAATGTTGCTAGTTCTTTCAACAAGGTTTAGACCAGTTCTGTTAAGCCTAAGAAAAAATTTGTGGATGGTAGATCCCATTAATCAGACCACCAAAACTTGTAAACACCACCTGCAGCTCTTTTTTTTAATATACCTCACTTTCTTCACTTGTCTGAAATACCAACGGTAATGGCATCCTCCATTTTTTGGCTTGCATTCAGACAAGCTACTTCTGTTTTTGTTTCTTATTAAGTCATGCTGAATCTTATACACACCAGCACCAGTGTTCCTCCCCATCTTCCTTTCAACAAAATGACACTATCTTCTTTCTATGCACCAGAGCCCAGCCTGTTGGAAAGTGTCAAACCTAAACTTCCATATAAGTGCGTAATTCTCAGAAGCATTGGCTTGTGTGTATGAGAAGCATCATCACCAGGTAGGATTTTTTCTGAGCTACAAAAATGATTAGCAGGAATTAATTTTTCTATGCTCTGGTGGCTAGAAATGCCATGTGAAGTTTTTTGCAATCAAACCTCCTAGGTTGCATTTTACAGTAAAATAATAATTTTAAAAAGTGTAAGCACTATACACATGTCCTTACTAACACCAGATTTATTTAATGTCAGCTTACTTTTTAAGTGGAAACTCAGATTATTTATTGTGACTTCAGTCTGCTCTTCAAAATGCTGTATTTTAATAACTACCATCTTATCTCTAAATTTGTGAATTTTAAAACCTCAGTGTGTCATGTAGGAATTATTTCTTACTACTTGGAAATAAGTCCTTTTAGTGTGTAGCTTATGGTTGCAGATTTAACTTCTGAATTTGCTATCTTCTCAGCAAGCATACCTGTGGATCTTTGACTATTAAAAATAGAACAAAAAAAACCCAACCCTGTTGCTGTCGTTCAATGTAAATGCATCAAGAATC